ACTGAGCCATTCTTTGAAGAGAACACAAAAATGAAAAAGACAAGATCCGTGTATTCTTGGAGCTTACAATATACTCACGCACATATAAAATCTGGAATTAAGCAGACCAGAGTTACAAACAAAATGCTATGGGAACATAGAGAAGAGAGAAAAATTCCAACTAGGGAGATTTGAGAAGGCTTTTTGGAAAAGGGAACTAAAATTTCAAGAGTAAGATTGCTGGAAGGTAGGGAAAAAGAACTCAGAAGTGAGGCAGCCTCAGCAAAGTCTTAAAGGCAGGAGAATGCTGGGCATCAGCTACATCATAGGAAACAGGAGATACTGGTGGTGGTGTGTGAGATGATGCAAGAAAGGTAGAAGTCAAATTTTAGAGGGCTTGTATGTGAGCTAAAGAATTTGGAACTTAATTCATTTTGTAAGGAAGATCCCTCCAGGGATTTTGGGCATGTGAGAAATATTATCAGCTCAATAACAGTAATAATAATGTGTATTGCCTTTTATAGCTTTATCACTATATCTCTACCACTTTACATGGTGCATGGCACTTGCCGTGTGCAAATAAACATGTATGTAAAATAAATGTATTGGAGGAGAATAGATTAGGGGTTGAATTATCAGTTAGATTACTGTAATCATTCAAGAAGAGGGAAGATATAACCAACACTGTAGAGGTAAAAATGACTGTCTCTGAAAGCTGGGTTTGGGCACATGGGAAGAGTTAAAGATGGTGACTTTGATTCTGTTCCACCAGGAAGACGGTGATATTGGGAACAGGGTGCATACAGGAAGAAGAGTTGGTTTGGGGAGAATGGGAGTAAGGTAAAATTCTCAATTCTGTTTTAGATTATGTTGTGTCTGAAGTGCTGGTAGGATATCTAGTAAAAAGTTTTACAAGTCTAGAGCATTCATGAGCTCTCTTTTCTTTGATGCTGTACCATTTTCATATGCCTGACTTCATCCATTATTTTATACAGATTTGTACTAATTTCAGTTTGATGTTTTTCTTACGTTCCCTAAAATTGTGGGGAAGTACCTTATTTAGTACCCTGCACAAGAGCTACCCCTAGGAGAAAGAGATGGGAAAAATGCATTAAAGAAAAGTGGTTGGGGATGAAGTGATCTGATTTTCATGCTTTACCATCCATCTTCATCAACTGTGGGTATGGATCGAGAAATACATTTTAAAGGACTCTCTACTTAGAAATGAAGCAGTAACAAAAATATGTGTATATATTTAAACTATTTATAATTGAAAATAAGCCATGTAATCATAGGTGACGTGGTGCTTTATTGATTATGCTTCTGATTTAGGCTTTTACATTGCTAGAATCTTTTCAAAGTAAGTTTGGATAGTCCCACTGCTAGTCTGAATGATATGTATTCTGGCAAGCAGACACGCTCAGAGAATTTATTAGACCAGGACACGATGGTTCCTTGTCTTTTCTTTTCCCTTCACCACAGAGTATACATCCTGAACTCTTTCCTTCACCCAGTCCTCCCCCGAGCCCAACCTAGGCTGTATTAATCCCCGCTGGCTTGGTGCTTTCCTCCAACCCCCCACCTGGCGGGGGCACGTGCCCCAGGGACGGTTGAAAACACCAACGGTCTCTTTTGTCCGGTAGGCGCGCGCGCAGGGCGGCTTGGGTTGTCGCGCCAGACCTGAGGGCGCGAGCCGGGGCGGGCTGGCGCGGGAGTGGCGCGGCGCGGGCCAGGGCAGCGGGCGCGGGACCAGCCTGGGGTCCAGAGAGAGCAGCCGCGGCCCGAGGGGCGCGCTAACCGACTATTGGAATTGGGGATGGGGAGCTCTCCGCTTTTCATTTCTGGTAAAGCAATTGACTACAGTGAAGTAGAAAAAGCAAGTTGCAAAACGATAAGTATTGTAAGATCCCATTTATGTAGAATGATTCACAGCGCCAAACTATGTGTACATAGTTTACAAATACATTGGAAAAGGGCTGACGAAGCTCTGGGGGAAAGGAGTAGGTTGGGAGAACGGATGGAGAGGGCTTACTTTGTACACTGTTGTACATCGTATATTTCTGAGATATTTAACATTATTATTATTTAGAACGTAATAATGTAATTGAAAAAAATCTGCATTTGAGAAGTTTGAGTATCCTCTTGCTTCTCATCGGTAGGAACCTGCTAAGACTCTCAGAGCATCTACAAAAGACAAGTAAAACTTTTTCACATTTGCCCTTCTCTCTCCCTCACAGCTCCACCTCTGCTCTCCCTCACCTTCTTACTCAAAATCCTTTAAACTGACCTTTGTAGAGGAGTCTTCTTCACAGTCCTTATTATGTTACAAACCTATCTGCAAAATCCACTTTCAAAGAGGAAATATTTTGAAGGAAGGTAAATTATTCGCAGGCACCTGAACATTTGAATTTGACATTATTCCTAAATGGTATTTGGTAAAAATTAAGATAAAATATTTACTGTATGTTTCTATTTTCTCCTAAACAGTTATACCATAGTGTTTCTTTTATCTGACCATATAATGTTAAATATTTTCATTTTTAAGTTTTATCTGACCATATAATGTTAAATATTTTCATTTTTAAGTTTGACTTAGAAAAGAGTTACAAAAATGTCACAAAGAATTGTATTATATCCTTCACCCAGCTTCCCCCAATGTTAACATTTTACTATAACCACAGTACAATGATCATAACTAGGAAATTAGCATTACTACTACCCTATTTACTAATCTACAGATATTATTCAAATTTCTACTATTATCCAACAAATGTCCTTTATTTTTTTTCTGGTTGAGGATTCAGTCCAGGATATCACAATGCATTTAATTGTCATGTTTACTTAGTTTCTTCTGATCTCTGACAGTTTCTGAGTCTTTCTTTTTTCTTGACTGACCAGTTACTTTTTGAATGTCCTTCAGTTTGGGTTTGTTTAGTATTTTCTCAATATTCAGGTTATGTATTTTTGACAAAAATACCACAAAAATGATGTACCATTCTCAGTGCATAATATCAGGGGACACATGATGTCAATGTGTCATTCATGGTAATGGTTATTTGATTACTTGATTAAGGTGTCTGCCAGTTTTGTCCAATGAATGTTGTGATTGTATTTAAAGGAGGCAAATATCCTCATCATATGCACACTAATTTTAGCATTCATGATTCTTGACCGCAACAGTCAAGTATCAAAGAGTGATTTTTCTGTTTCCATCACTTTGATGTTAAATTTCAATCTGAATATTTAAATACATGACATTTTAAGATATTTGACTAATTCTTTTCTACTTTATATTAGAGAAAAAAGGCATTTGGAGGTTGTGTGATATATGCTGTGTAATTAGTGGCTAAAATGGAACTTATAGATGGATTATAGATGAATTCTAAGTCAGTAGTAATTCATTATTCTTAGCACTTGTAAAATTGGATTCTAAAATCTCATTTTATATGAATTTGTGAACTCATTAATTGAATTGGTTTTTATAACTCCATTCTTGTAAATGGGCAAATGTAAAATGGTATTTAAAAATAGAACAAAGAAAAAAATCTTTAATATTATTCCAGCGTATTGCTATTTTTAGTTGGCATTTGCAAGACTGATCCTTTAAATTAACAATACATCTGACTCTCATCCAATGATATTTCACTTTATTTAGCCTCCATGTTTGCTGAAAGGATTTACTGGAAGTTGGAATGAGTACTCTTTGAATGCATTGCAAGGAAGTAGAATTCTTGTGGGTGAAACTTAGAGATCTTTTAATCCATGAGTTATTTGACTATCACGAATTTTGATAAATCTCGTTTGAAGATTAAGTCACCCTGTGCAGCATTTACCCTAACTTCTATCATTGTAGATGGAAAACTGGTTAAGATTGGGTCTTAACCTTGATGTCAATTTTATTTGCTTTCAATATGAAGGCAGAGAAAGTTTAGATTTTTAAAAAAACACTGATTCAAGTATCTGATGTCTATGAACCTTTTCCCCAGAAAAATGCACAGACTCATAGGTTGTATTAGAGCAGAAGCAGTACAAAGTCAAATGGAGGGGGAGGAGGGAAGGAAGTGATGAGGAGGGAAAAGCTGGCGGCCAGACTGCCAGAGGTTTCGCAGACAGTTTCCCTTCCTGCCATATGGCACTCCTCGCCTCTCTCGGCAGTTCAGATGGGGCGGGTAAAGCTGCACAGCCCATCCGGCTCCTTGTCATCTCCTTCCAACCCCCTCCCTCAACACTCAATATCATCATCATCTTTATCACTTAGCCCCCAGTCTGTTTAGCTTTCTTGCTGGCTCTTCAGTCCTTATGAGGCCCTCTCTGTCACTGGCTCTCACCGACTCGTTGATCTCTTTCTCCAACCTATTGTTTGGGAAGATAGCTCAAAAGCTCAAGTGAGAGAATCTGACTACTTCCAAATGGCTAGAGCAGAAAAGAAGTTATTGAATACGCTAATCCTCCCCCTTCTCATCAGCACAGAAATTTTGCCACGTTTTCCTGCTTGTTTGAAGATGGAGGAAGAGCTGATGAACATTTGGGGGGAACACGTCTAAAATCAATAGCTTACACAAACGGTGATCATTACCTATGGAGAGAAGGCTGACAAGTTACTGCGCCTCTCTTACCCCTCAAAGGCAGGATGGGGTTGGACAAAGAGAAGGGGGAACCAAGGAAAAGGGCTCTGGATCCGTTAAACGAAACGTTTTTGTTTTTGAACATGTACAGAATATGAACTTCCAGAACCCGCGTCATCGCCCGCCAACGCCTTCGTCCCCAGCGGCTGTGACAGAACCTCGGCGCCTGGCCCAGCTCTGGCCCGCCAGCGTTCGCGGCAAAGCTTGGCGCTCGGGTGCGCGCCTCCGCCGAGAAAGGGCAGGCGGCGGCGGGGCGGGGCCGCCAGCTGGGGGAATCCCTGCCGGGCTCTGACGTCACGGAAGCGCTGGCCAATGAGGAGCCGGACAGGGGGATTCCCGCTCTGACTGCCGCTTCGCCGGCTTTTTAAATGGTACCCTGGGGAATGCACTCTGTGAGCGGTGGGAGGAGTAGGGGGAAATGGAGGTTGGGGGTGAAATATGATGGTCCTGGGGGACGAGACTCTATAGTTGGGCGTCAAGACTGGCTTAGGCCTGCGGGTTAACCCAGACGCGGTCGAGGAGGGCCAAATTCCAGGTAGGGCAAAGTCCTCCGGAGATGGAGTGGAAACTGGAGCGCACTGCCCCTCGGAAGGTACGGACTGAAGAAGAGATGATGTGGGTGAGTAAGGCCCTTTTGATTATTAGTTCCAACTTCTTACAGGGGCTTCTTATCGAAGGCACCGTTTGTAATACCTGTTTAGGACCAAAAGGTAGCACAAAACTCTAAATCCTGATCTTAATTTTGAGTTGTGTAATTTATTTATATTCCGAAGGTTACTTAAAAATGAATGTGGTTTGACGAGCTGAGGATCTAGAGACATTCCACACCTAATAAGATTTTCCTAAATAGTTTCTCTCTCCATATGTTATCTATATTTTCAAAGGAGAATGTGATGCAGATGCTTTCCAAAGGCATGAAGCAGAAGAGAAGTCAAGGTTCTCCCAAGGTGAGTGTCCAGTGCTTGCTCTAGGTCTCTGTCTTAAATATGACCTTGAACAAACTGATTCTTGCTAAAGAGGATAGTTGTTGGCAGTATGGGCTGGTATGAAAATATGAAAAATTTAAAAATCAATCTCATATTTTCACGAATTATATACCTAAAATAATTCTGTAAGAAACCGAAGATCCCTAACAAATAATGGTAATCATTTGTACTTGAATGGTATTTTCTAGTGTTTGCCTCAATAGCAAAGAATGAAACTTGGATGTGTCAGGTAGGCAGTACATTGCTAGCTGGCTGTTATAATTTCAACAGTGGCTAGTTGTGCTCCCCTCTGTTGCATTCATAAAATTGCCACCCAAAAGAAATGGGAATAGTGCCATCTTGTGGACAATGAGAAGCGACATAATCCACGGCCTTTATTTTGGTTAGTAGGGTAGTTATCTAAAAGTTGATCCAATGTATACTTTTTCTCCTTGAAAGTCAGAACCCAAAGGTTTTAGCCTCCCTTGTAATCAGTGTAAAGATAAAGCAAATCCAGGTGATTTTTTTTCTTATTTTTTCCCACATAAACAATCCTTAAATACTTTAAATCTCTCATCATTGTTCACCTTGCTTCTCTCTGGCTAGTAGTTCACATTTCTTTAATCTTTACTCACATATTCTAATTTCAAACCTACCATTTTTAAATAGATTTTTCCATTCCTTAAATTTTTCTATATTTAAGTAGCAACACAATAGATTGAACACATAACTGCACTTTCAGAATGCAGTAACTAATAAAATCTCCTTAATAGTGGGAGTAAACAATATTTAAGTCCTTAAAATCTCCAAATACTTTAATATTTATTTTTCCTTCCATACATAGCTGAAGATTTGTTTTATGTATAACCATGACTCCTAGGTATTTACTGCCTAAAACAGACAACTGGTCTTTTGGTCAGTTAATAAGAGTATAACTTTGTTCATTTACTTGTGCTGCAATAACCTATTTTCATATCTAAGCTTTAAATTTGGAAAACCTAAATGTAAGTATTCTGAAAGCGTTTCTTTTTAAGTTTTTGACCAAAGAAAAAAATAGTTTTATTTCTTATAATAGTTTTATAAGAACAAGTTTTATTTATAAGTTTTCTTTAACGTGATTATTAAGATTAAAGTTCTACCACTGTGTTTCATGTTACAAATTTAGCCTCAGTGACTTCAGCTGACATGAGGAGCAGCAGTGACCTGAATCAAGTAGGCAGTGTATTGTTAGCTGGCTGCTTTGGGTCAATTCAGCAGCCACAACTACCCTGCCACTTGCTTCTGGATAAATTCTTCTTGTTAATGAAGTGCATTGGTTACCTGTATGTGATGGGTTGGCAGTGTATTGTTAGCTGGTTGAATATATGAATGGCATCAGCTAACATGCAACTGCTATCTTATTGCATATACAATGAACATCAGAGTATAATTCAATCTGTAAGTAAAATATTTGCGTTTGTGTGTACTTTTAGCTATGAACCAGGGTACTCTTTATTATAACACTTATTATTGCTACTGTTACTCATGTATGAAACAGACAGTTTTCTAATGGTCAAGAAACTACTATAATTATTTAAACAATTTCTAGGCAATATTTTAGAGTCTCAAATAATTGCATACAGTATCAAAGTACTTGTGAAATTATACATTTATTTGTTAATATAAAATTTAAGATATAATGATGATCTGGACGGAAAGCCTAAAACTTTTCCTCAAATTTTCAACTGAGTTATTAGTTTTCTTTCTGGATGGTTTCTTAATATGACATTAGAGTAGGTTTCTATAATGATGTGTGCCTGCTGAAGGGAGACTTGAGGTAACTTTGCAGATGAGTTAGCCGACTAAGACATTTTCACTTGAAATATCAAAGTTATTTTGGGGTGGGGAATGAGATTGAATTTTTTGGAGGTTTTACCTTAAGTTTTACTTCATTTTCTGTAAAGTCACAGACTTATAAAGTATTTGGAAGAGAGCATGAGATTTAGCTTATGAAGTAGGAAGAACTGATCATACAATATGATTTTAAATGTATTCTCATTCCCTTGGAGGCCAGCTTGACTCATGGAGCAGTGTCAGCTATGTGCTGGGTTCCAGACATATAGTGTGGACATTTGCAACAAGTTCATGGAACAGACTTTGGTCATTTAGTGAATTAGTTACACCCTAAATGAGAAGTGAGAAATATGTCACTCTGTACTGTATTGGATTATAAATTGTTGGTAAAATAATTTTTATTCTTACCTTATTTAAATATTTCTAGAACCATGGGTTAGATACCTATAATTTGATTCTTATGCATTTTGCTATTCTAAAGTTTCATCCTCTTTTTGTTGTTATTCAATATCATTCTGTTTGCAGGATATTTGTGTTTAAGTATCCCTTTCATGTACATATTTTTTCATCTTTATTTTTAAAGGTTAAATTTCAACATGTTATTTTCTATAGAAAGTCACTGACCGGTTGATAAAAATAAAACCTACTAAATTTAGAAGGCTTGGCCTTTGTGTTTTAGTATTTTTTTCATTTTTAATTAAGTTTACTGGGGTAACATTGGTTAATACAATTATATCATTTTCAAGTATATGTTATCATTTGACATCTGTATATTCTATTGTGTTTACTGTGTTTTAATTTTTATAAAGAGCAAGATATAAAATGCCAACATTTATACTCAATAAACAGCACATTTAAAGCTGTCCTTCAGTTCTATATTATTGAATGGAATGAAATAAAGATAAATTAAGGAGATCAACGGGGTAAGGAGAAAAATGAATATATAAATTAAAAAAATTTCCATAGGTGTGAGATGGAAAGAGAGGGAGCCACACTTGAACCTCAAAGGAAAAGAAGAGGGAAAGGGGGTTGAAAAAGAGGAGGAGGGAGGCCCTGCTGGTTGGGAAGTATTTTCTCTCACATGTTTTCTCTTGGGCCAACTATTGTGCTGTCCACTGATGCTAGGGATGTCACTGCTTCTCATCACTGCCCTCTGGAGGGCTTCCTAATTCCTTTCTGCTCTCCCCACCCACCCCGC